CATCACTTTCCATGTGGATTTAATTCTGTTTCTGTATTATCTATTCTGTTTTAATATTATAGATTTGTAATACAGTTTATTATCTTGCAAAGCCTGTTCTCCCTCTTCAATCTCTAGAATTTTCCCATGTTTAGTTTTCCAAATAAACTATAGCATCGCTTTATCAAAATCAAAACAAAGTTGGTATTTTTATTGAAATTACTTGCCTATCTAAATTCATGTAGAGAGAACTGGCATGTTTACAATATTCATTCTCCCTATCCAAGAACAATATATTTTTTTCATTCACTAATCTTGTTTTATGTCCCTCAGGAAAGTTTGTTTAGATGAATTGTGATTTTGCACCACAGAGGCAGAGAGTTATGAGGAATAATTCTTCTCAATTATCAGATGTATGGATATTTGTTACCAGTGATTTTTCTCCTTGTGCTATTATGATAGCCCATAATACATGATAATATGAATAAGACTTAAAGTTTTCTTCATATATGCTCTGCACCTTCCTTATTGAATTTATTTCTAAGTAATTGCATTTGTATCTTTGGTAAATGAGATACTTAATATCATTATATTTTCTAGACTTTATATTTTTTCTGTGTTAGTTATTAACTTTTTTATTAATTATATATCAGATTGGGCACGGTAGCTCATGCCTATAATCCCAGCACTCTGGGAAGCCAAAGCGTTAGGATCGCTTAAGCTCAGGAGTTCGAGACCAGCCTGGAAAACATGGTGAAACTTTGTCTACAAAAATTAGCTGGGCATGGTGGCACACACTTGTAGTTCCAGCTACTTAGGGGGTTGAGGCAGGAGGCTCACTTGAGCCTAGGAGGTTGAGGCTGCTGTGAGCTATGTTCACATCACTGAACTCCAGCCTGGGCAACAGAGTGAAACCCTATATCAAAAAAAAAAAAAATTACATATCAGTTACCTACTGGATTCTCTTATTGTCTCTAAAGATTTTTTCTCTCAGTTGATTTTCTTGGAGCTTCCAGATATATAACTATGTCAAGTAGAAATAATTTTTTAAATCTTTTTGGTCATAATATTTACATATTAATTATTTTTCTTTTCTAATTGCATTGGCTAGTACCTTGTAAACAATGTTAAGCAATAATAATAACTGTTAGCAAATTGTCTTGTTTCTGAGTTTAATTGGAATGTTTAATTAGTTTAATTAGATTGTCTTTTTTGTAAGTTTAGTTAGAATTACTAAGAGTAGTGCTGGAGTTTAAATTAAAATATACTATTTATTATGTTAAGGAAGAATCCATCTATCTCACCCTTAAAAAAAGTTTAACTGAGGGATAGATGTTTAATTTTTCAAATATCTTTTCAATATTTATTGAGTTTTTTCTTTGACCTATTTACATAGTAAATTATATTAACAAATTTCCTAATAAGAAATTATTCTTGTATTCCTGAAGTAAATTAATTTAATCATATTCTATTGCTGTTGCATTTGGATTCAATTTGCTCTGTTTTACTTGGTAGGGTTTTTTAATTCATTAGTAAGGTTTATGCATATTTTTCTTTTATGTGCTCTCTTTGAAAGATACAGTCATGTATTATATAATGATGTTTAAGTCAGTGATGAACCATATACAACAGTAGTCCCATAAGATTATAATATAGCATATTTTCTGTACCTTTTCTACATTTAGATATGTTTAGATATACAAATACCATTGTGCTACAATTGCCTATAGTATTTAGTACAGTAGCATATTGTACAGGTTTGTAGCCTAGGAGCAATAGGCTATACCATATACCCTAGGTGTGTAGTAGGCTAAACCATCTAAGTTTGGGTAAGTACACAATAATGAAATTGCCTAACAATGAATTTCTCAGAATATATCACCATTGTTAAGGGACACATGACTGTATTAGGATTACTGTTAGGCTAGCAGGCCTTTTCTGAAAACTGGCAGAGGAAATTTTCTCATTTTAAGAGTTGATCTCAACGAGAGATGGAGAATTCTCTGGAGACCATACAATTTCTCTTGGTATAATCTGAAGTATAGATATGGGCATAGTTTAATTCAAAAATATTTACTGAGCAAGTAAGCATTGGGTGAAATTACATGAGAGAATTTGACTCTTAAAATTAGTACATAAGGCAAAAAAATCTAAAATGTTATTTATCAAAATATTAAAGGGTATCTTCTATTGTCCTGAAATTTAAACTGAAGCCCAAAGAGGCAAATAACTGGTAACAAATATCCATACATCTGATTCAAAAGCAACCTATATCCCTGAAAGATTTACTATAAGATGAAAAAATTAGTGTGGTGAGCCAATACCAGGCTTATTTAAATTAAAAAAAAAAACTCAAGACATTTGAAGTGAAAACTCAGAGAGTCAGCAAGGTAAAAAACTGTAAACTGAGGCTAGGCATAGTGGCTCACTCCTGTAATCCCAGCACTTTGGGAGCCTGAGGCAGGCAGATCACAAGTTCAGGAAATTGAGACCATCCTGGCCAACATGGTGAAACCCCAACTCTACTAAATATGCAAAAATTAGCTAAGCATGGTGGCATGGACCTGTAGTTCCAGCTACTCGGGAGGCTGAGGCAGGAGAATCACTTGAACCTGGGAGGCAGAGGTTGCAGTGAGCTGAGATTGCGCCACTGCACTCCAGCCTGGCAACAGAGCTAGACTCCATAAAAAAAAAAAAAAAACTGTAAACTGAGTCAGGAGTACTATAGTATTTCCCCACATCTCCTCATAGGTGACCCCTCCTAAGCCAAGTGAGAAAGGAGCTCAGGAAAATCTCCCACAGAGATTGTCTTCCAGAAGAGAGAACTGACACGTTAGCCTCCAACTGGGATGTGAGCTGCAGAGACTTTCTAGTGCCCTTGGATCAGAGCTGAGCCTGGGGCAATTCTTGAGGGATGATGACAGTGTTCTCAGGGCTTTGAGGTTATGTGTAAAGACAAAACCTTGTGAGGACTAAAGTGACAAGTGAAGAAAAGATGGCAGTATAAGTGGCTTATTCTTCCAGAATTTGGTGTGGCAAGGATGTTGAGTTTTTCTCTGAACTAAAGAATTCTCTCATGAACTACTATTTTGAAAGGTCTCCATCCTAGAAGCCTGCCTGCCAGAGCAAGACAATACCAGTAGAAAAAGTCTGATTGCCTACCACCTTATGCAGGAACGCAGCAGAGTTGTAAGAGCTCATCTAGAGAATGGGTCCCCAATACTGAGAATTAGTGCAGTGCCAAAGGCCCTCACAGGAGTCTCCAAAGAACCCACAAAAGTTCTCAGAATGAGAGAGCCCATCTGTGTTCAGCTATCTGCCATATGGTAGGCGCTGCGGCCAAATTTTATCCTCACCTGTCAAGTATGACTTTGCCCGTGTACCTCTCATCTCAACCTTCTCACCCTACCACAAGAGCAGCTAGAAACAAAGAAAGGGGAGAAAAGAGTAGAACAAGACAATACAATTGTGGAAGGAACAAAATACTACACATCTTCCTCGGCTGTCTTACAGATTTTTGAGTGGGGTCTAATCTTGGTATGAAGTGTGGGAAGGAAAGTTTGGAACTGGGTGAGACAATGAAAGTGTGATTTGAGCTGAATAGGGAATCCTATTTATTATTTATTTATTTGTATCCAATGGAGAGAATTTAATCTGGGGAACTAACTTGCAAAAGTTCAAACAAGGAGTAGTAAGACAACTTAGACATCACTATGGTAGGAAGGTGCTACCGCAAGATCTAGAGAACAAGTAAGGGAGTTGGTGCTGCCTGTGTTCAGGTGTTAGGGTCACCCAGAGGAAAGCAGAGGGAATAGGCTAGATGGTGGGAGCTGGTACAACAGAGGAGACATTACCACTGATGTAGGTGCCACCTAAAGCAATGGGAGATTCTCCCCTCTTTTTGGTGCCTATATTCCACCATTTTTATTGCTTAGACCTAACCACAATCTAATTGATAAAGGAATCTGGAAATTTAGCATTATGGTTAATTTCAGGTGCAGAATGAGGTGTTTCTGGAAGAGATTAATATGTGAGTCTAAATGGACTCAGTGGAAGAGATTCTCCCACTTCCACTTAATGAACAGTAGATATATTTTCTCTTCCTTGTGATTTTCTTCATAACATTTTCTTTTCTCTAATTTACTTTATTATAAGAGTATAATATACATACAACATACAAAATATGCATTAATTGACAGTTTATGTTAACAGTAAGGCTTCTTGTCAACAGTAGGCTATTCATAGTTAATTTTTGAGGGAGTCAAAAGTTAACCATGGATTTTTGACTACACGCGGGGTCAATCCCCCTAATCCCCATGTTGTGTAAAGGTCAGTGTGGGTGGGCACCATTCAATCTGCTGGAGCCAAATAGAACAAACACAGAAAAAAGATGATTTGTTCTCTCTCGCCAGACCTGGGATACCCTTTTCTTCTCCTGCTTTGAACATCAAGACTTCAGGCTATCTGGACTTTGGACTTCAAAACTTATACCAGCAGCCCCTCAGTAAACTGAGCATCTTAAAACCTAAGAAATTAGATAATTCTAAACCCAAATATGACAGAAAAGGCTATGGGGTATGTCAAAAATACTGCCAAGGTATGAGGGAGATCAAACAGTCCATATTAAATGCAGAGGTGAGACAGATGGCATAGTCAAAATTACCCTTGAAAATCTTTCAGGAAAGGGTTATATCAGAGACTAGCACCCCATCTTTCATTAATTCCAACAGCACAAGTTTTTCTGCCAGCACTAAAACAGCTTGCAGCTATTTCAGTTGGGGACAGATGAAGTAGTTGGCTGAGTTTAGCAGCATGTTATGGGAAAAATATGTACCTTTAAACACAAGGATCACATCCAGCACAGCAATATGCTCACACTGTAAGAGGCATAGAGAAACGGGGTCTGTGTGAGAGAATGGAAAACAGAAACTGATGATCTCCAAAACACTGCCTCTTCAGGGCCATAGGCTCATTAAATGCAACGGTGAGTGGCATCACTTACTTGCCCTAGTTAAATCTTCCTCCCTCCCTCTTTTTGCTTTCCTCCCCAACCCCACCCAACCATGTATACAGCTGACCTTTAAACAACATAGGGATTAGGGGGACTGACCCCTGTGCAGTCAAAAACCCATGGATAACTTTTGATGCCCCCAAAACTTAACTATGAATAGCCTATTGTTGACCCGAAGCCTTACTAATAACATAAACAATTAATGCATATTTTGCATGTTGTGTGTATTACATACTATATTCATATAATAAAGTAAATTAGAGAAAAGAAAATGTTATGAAGAGAATCATAAGGAAAAGAAAATATATCTACTATTCATTAAGTGGAAATGAATCATCACAAAGATCTTTAACCTCACCATCTTGACGTTGAGTGGACTGAGGTGGAGGAGGAAGAGCGGTAGTTGGTCTTGCTGTCTCAGGGATGAAAAGAGGTGGAAGAAAATCTACAAGTTTGTAGGTAAACCCATGCAATTCAAACACATGTTGTTTAAGAGCAAACGGAGTTAGATACATTTAAATAACTACAACTCACAGATCAGGCAATCCACTTTAGCTCACGGGGAAGACCCAAAGATGAGTCAGACACGCTTCTCATTGAGTTCCCAGATAAGTGGAAGAAAAAAACGATGTTGACAAATATGTACTAGGTCCTCTAGCAAAAGTAAGAGTAAAGTCTCCTGGACGTACAAAGGATGTAGAGGTCACCCTGCAGAAGACAGAGAAAACCTCCCAAGAAAAGTAAAACGGCCAGTCCCAGGCTATCATCCAAAACAGGCAGTGCCAATGTCCTAGAGCCATCATCTCTTCCTTCTTGGTTAAACTTGGAAAACCACATTTATAACAACAAAAATAATACCTTTTATTTAAAAAGATTTACAAGTAGTTTATTCATCCCTTTCAGGATATTGGGTGAGAAAATTCCAAAAGGGGGTGTCTTATACAAAGGTATTAAATTTAGCAAGTTTTGGAATTTAGACTAGATCCAACTTATCTGACTCCCAATTCAGTGCTCTGCACCCACTGCTTCTGAAACAGAGAGCCATTCATCAAACTTTAAAACTTACTACTCATAGAACAGTATTGTCTTGACACTAACCATTAGCAGGTATTAACATAACAATAAATAGCCTTTTGAAAAGGAATTTGCAAAATATCGAGAAATATAAGCCCATAAGTGGATACTAACAGAAGCATTAGGCTGAGGTCAAAGACAACCTAACTATAGGAATTTCAGGCTTTTATTTATACCTTGATTCCAAACTCTATGGACCAAGGTGAGGTGTACTGTGGCAACTCCTTTGCCCTCATGGAGTTGCTCCTCCAATCCCTCCAGGTACAGCTTTTGCTCTCTGACTTTCTATATCCTTTAGGGTATACTTGAAGAATATGATCCTAGGTTAGGAGTCTCAGTTTCTAGTGGCAGTGTGGTATTATAGGGCTCTCGCCTGAAAGTCAGGAAATTTCAATTCTAGTGCAGGCTTAGCCATGGACTAGCCGAGTGATTCTGTTTTCAGGGAGAGAAACTGGACTCTGACCAGGACTGTGCCACCCTGAGAACAGCATTTCAGTGCAAGCCCAATCAGTAGCCCGTGGGCTGTAATGCATGGGGACAATGCAGAGAGACACCCTTTTCCTTACCAGCTGGTAATTAGTAGGAAGGCCACCAGAAATCCGATCTTCCGACTCTGCATCAATTGCTCTGCCCACTCCACCTCAAAGTTCTAACCCCTCAGCATGGCATATAAGTGTCCCCATTCATTGGGTTTGATTCTTTTGTCTTGCTTCCAAACTATGTTTTAAGTCATAGTTTTTGGCTTCCATACTTTGTCTCATCTTCTTATCACCTATAAGCCTTTTCCTCCCCAATGCATGTAATGGCTTAACAGAACCCTCATTGTTCTTTACAGCTCTTAAGAGTTGTTGCAGCGGCATCTTTTCAATGGAACTTTTTTGACAGGTCCTAGGATGGGCCTTCTCTTTTCTGTGATTCTCAAGCACTTTTTACTTTTCTCAGACATCCTACCGTATTTTGCTTTGTGTCATTACTGAGTGCCAATACATTGTGAACTTCTTGAAGTCCTTGTCTTTACCTCAGTACCCAGGACAAAGCCATCCATATTTTCAGGCTCAGGAGCACATTGTAAGAGGCAGGAGAGGTTATGCTATGCTAGAATAAAAACACAATCCCCACTATTGCAGTGGTTTTACTCTACCAAGTTTTATCAGAATCTCACACTAAATTTCCAGTGTAAGTTTTTTGGGGGGCAGGATGTGGGGGTGGAATTTGTCATTATAATCTCTCAGAAACCAAGGCAGTTAGAGGTTCTACCTCAACAAGAGCTTCTATGATCCCTGCAGCAAGAAATGTGACTACAGAGAATTGAACACCGGCTCTGACATCTTCCACTCAGAGATAGTCCATGTCATTCTTCTCACATTTCATGGCCAAAGTAAGTTGTATGGCCATGCTTACTTTTAGGGCAGGGTACAGAAGTGTGGTATAACAGTGTGACTGCAAGCAGGAGGAAAATCAAAATATTGATGAACATCTTAATGATATTACAACACCATGCTGTATCGCAATGGACCATTTTGTCCCTTCTGACTGGGACACCCTGCCCACCTTGTCCCTCCATCTGAATAGCTCTTTCTCATCCAGCTGTTTTCAGAGTTCTTTTAAAGATTTTGTTGACCTTAACCTGGAATCACCACTACCACCAAAGCTAGATAAAGTGTCCCTCCAATATGTCCAAATAGTACATACAAGATCACAGTCACACCGGTTTGTAGTTTGGCTTATTTATCATTAAGCCAAGAATTGGTAACCTGTAGCCCAAGGACTAAATCCAGCCTGCCATTGGTTTTATAAATAAAGTTTTATTGGAACATAGTCTTGGCCATTCATTTCCATATTGGCTATGGCTTCTTTCACCCTAAACCCATTGAGACCACTACCCCTTGAGGGCAAGAGTTGCATTCCCAGTACCTTCTGTATCCCAGCAGTAGCAGAACAATTGGTTCATACTAGACATTCAATAAATATCTGTTAAATAAATGAAGAGATGTGAGTGTTTATTGAATTAAAATCATCTTCAAGAAAAATGGACAGAAAAACAGGGAACAGGGCGTATCAGAATTTCACATTTTGGCAAGACAAACTATCTCCGATTCTCTGTTTCAGCTACACATCCTACGACTTTTTTCAAAAATGAGTAAACATGGGGAGCCAACATTAATCTTTTAAAGGTCTAGGCAACTTGAATTTGCCACAGTCTAGTTAGAACAAATTAAGCAACCGTGACACTTACGAAATGTTTTAAAATTACAGAATTGCTAAATCCACATCCGTTTGCTCTGTAGAATATTTCATTCTCTTTGATTAACAAATCTGACTCAAATGAGATGTGGACCCTTCAACACAGTATTGTAAGCCTACAAAAGTCCCACAACTGGTATGAATTGCTTTCAAGCTGGGTATCTACAAGGTAATATCAGCATACTTGCTCAGAGCTTCCAGAAGTAAACACACAGTGCTGCATCTGGGCTCTGCTGAGTTTACAGCATAGGAAAAAAAATTAAAATACAGGCAAACCTGGTAGGTACAGCATCCCAGCTTGTTTATAAGAGCAATTTCAGCTAGTACAGATCCACAATTTATTTGCAAACAGATTAATTAATGTTTCAGCAGCTGTTTGCAGCCAGTCTGTGATCTCACTGAACACAGATGACACTTTTTTCCTCTGCTATTCCATAGGGGTAATTTCCGCAATGCTTAGATTAGGTTTTTAGTGTATCAGCCCACATGATAAAATAAGTTGAGTCCTGAAGCAGCCATGATGGCTTTACAAGCCAAGTCTCCCGTGATTCCCCTGTGCCACTGTTCTTGGGCTTCCTTTTAATTATGGCCTCAAAATGCCAGTTTGCAAACAGAGCTGCAAGATGAAAACCTGACATTTTTAAAAATTGTTTTTTCCTTCTGCTTTTAGGTCCCTCCGGGTTGGTATTCAGCAATGTGTACCACTGGGTGTAATAAAAGCAAATGCTTGAATATTTTTCAGTAAACTACCAGAGAATAAACAAATGGAAGAACAAATGCTGAAGAGCCTGCGAGTAATGCACTCTCTAAGCTAGGTAGATCGCTACTGACAAAGCAAGGCAGCTCTTCCGATTTCATTTCTCTTCTTGAAAGAAAAAAAAAAACAAGGAAGACGAGACAAAATCCCCAAAGCCTCACTAGGCTAAATTTCCTTACTCTCCTTTGAACAGACTACACAGATTTTGTTGACTAATTGAGATCAATCCCAGTTGTAAATCGCCTAGCTATCCTACAGCTTTAATTAAGCTACCAGAGGGAGCTGTTTATCAATTAACACTTGTTACAAATTATTAGTAATTATATGGACTTTGTGTATATACTATAGCTTGCAAGACCAAAACTGCCTTTGCCAGTTGTTAGGGAGCAAATTGAATAGTTAATAGGCTATTTGGATGAAGGCACCAGTCATCACCATAATTATAGAATTTCTTCCTTGGCAGAAAGATTTAAGGTGAGTTTCAGCACTATTAGCAATAGTTGAATAAACATCACTTTAAGTGTTTCTTTTGCCAGGGCTTTGCAAGATCATATTAACCGGTGGACTCTCTAATACGGACTTCAGATCTGTATTTACTTTTTGAGTAATAGACATAATGAAGATGGGAATATTAGGTAAAAGTTGATAACATATTCAAGCATTAAGGCTACCTATTGCGGTATGCACTGCATTCTGTGATAATTTTAATTGGCTTAATTGAGATGCACAAGCCTGATTAATGTTTAATTCCTTTATATTAAAAAAAGAGTCAAGTAGTTCGACATTTCTTCAATTATGTTAGATCTTTCTAGACTTCAAAGGAATGTTACATTAGACAGCTAGATACGGGGTGAACTGATTAAAGAATAAAGACTGCTCATTATAATCTAAGAGTACAAAATTGGTTTGTGTAGCCTTTGAAAGTTAAAATTATGAGCTAAAACTTGAGCTACAGTAATTAACCGAATTTATAGTCATTCTTGCTTATCTATTTGCTTATAATTAGTAATTTAAAATGATCCATGAGATTGATTTACAGATCTAAAGCCCATTCAGGAACCCAAAATGTTTTGTCTATGATTTTTACAAACACTGGAGGAATGTCTTTAGTAGCATTAGTAAACATCTGTTAATCAGTTAAAAATATCAGTACAGAAAATACTTGATAGTTAACTTTATTACCTGCATAAAATACTAAAATATTTGTGTAATGTAATCCACTTGCAAAAATTTTTAAGTTGAATTTGCATTTGCTGTGGATCTCTGGGAAAAATGCAATCAATTAAAAGTTCAGCTATCTTAAGGTGATCAACTTTTAATTACTTTTAATAAGTAAGTTTTTTAAGAATACAGCCATGCATGGTGGCTCACGCCTGTAACCCCAGCAATTTGGGAGGCTGAGGCAGGCGGATCATGAGGTCAGGAGTTTGAGACCAGCCTAACCAACATGGTGAAACCTCATCTCTACTAAAAATACAAAACTTAGCCAGGCATGGTGGTACACCTGTAATCCCAGCTACTCAGGAGGCTGAGGCAGAAGAATCACTTGAACCCAAGAGGTGGAGGTTGCAGTGAGCCAAGATCATGCCAGTGTACTCCAGCCTGGTGACAGAGCAAGACTTCATCTCAAAAAGAAAAAAAGAAAAAATAATAATACAGATGAAAATGTCATCTGCAGTGTAATTTAATTATGTGTACTCTGTCTAATCCTGTGAGAGCCACCCGTCTCTCACACACATGCATTTTCCAAAGTGTTCTAAATTCACTTCAGGGAATCATGACAGACTTTGGTGGACAATGGGGCATAAACCATTAGAGAATCAGGAGATATTAGAGATGTATCTATCAGAAATAAATAGAATGATTAGCACATTTGCTAAATAAATATTTCCAGGACCTCACTAATACAGCAATATGAAAACTCAAAGCCTTTGGTATGATGAGTGATACATAAAAAGTGAAGACAGAGAGAAAATGAGTCAGAAAGAAAACATCAGGACCTCATTCAAGAGAGTCCCAAGGCTCAGAGCAAATCAGGTTTTCTGGAACCTTTATAATATCATGACTCTGTATTACTTACCATATGAGTGACTGTGTGTGTAACAGGATTCCTCACAGTTGGTTTCATGGAACAAAAATTCATCCAGATGCTCCATGAAAAGGGGATTCTATAGACAAGTAAGTTTGGGAAATTCTGTAGTATATCCCTCTCTTGAAGAGTCACAATACCTGTTAGTATACTAAATGCTCCACTTATTTTACCACAGAACATTGTTTTCATTGAATACCAACTAATGTTAGTGAGTATTCTCAGGCACAGTAGTGTCATAATATGAATCCAAATGAAATACGGGCACTTGTCTTCCCCAGAGCAATGTTGATATCATATGTACAAATTAATGAACTCTCCCCATCTCACCGACTTCACTGAAGGAACAAGTTTACATGCCCCAGCATGGATGTAGTTTAGCCCTCAGAGCCCTCTGCAAACAACCATAGGAGAACAATGAGGCTTTCATTTTCCTGTTGTTTCTGGCCATTTGCACAGATCTGTACTTGATACTCTATGTAGCACATGTGCTAGTTTGTAACTTTAAATAAGATGAGGAAACTGGGCCTCATTTCATTTAATGAGTGACCTGGAACTGGGCAGGAAAAGATGAGCCATTTTAAACTTGATGAAAATATAAGTCCTACAAAAATTATTTTTTATTATGCTTTAAGTTCTGGGATATATGTGCAGAATGTGCAGGGTTGTTACATAGGTATACACGTGCCACGGTGGTTTGCTGCACCCATCAACCCGTCATCTACCTTAGGTATATCTCCTAATGCTATCCCCCCCCACCCCCTCAACGCCCCAACAGGCCCTGGTGTGTGATGTTCCCTCCCTGTGTCTACGTGTTCTCATTGTTCAACTCTCACCTGTGAGTGAGAACATGCGGTGTTTGCTTTCTGTTCCTGTGTTAGTTTGCTGAGAATGATGGTTTCCAGCTTCATCCATGTCCTTGCAAAGGACACAAACTCATCCTTTTTATGGCTGCATAGTATTCCATGGTGTATATGAGTCACATTTTCTTTATCCAGTCTACCACTGATGGGCATTGGGTTGGTTCCAAGTCTTTGCTATTGTGAACAGTGCTGCAATAAACATACATGTGCATGTGTCTTTATAGTAGAATGATTTCTAATCCTTTGGGTATATACCCAGTAATGGGATTGCTGGGTCAAATGGTATTTCTGGTTCTAGAACCTTGAGGAATGACCACACTGTCTTCCACAACAGTTGAACTAATTTACACTCCCACCAACAGTGTAAAAGCTTTCCTGTTTCTCCACATCCTCTCAGCATCTGCTCTGTTTCCTGACTCTTTAATGATCGCCATTCTAACTGGTATGAGATGATATCTCAATGTGGTTTTGATTTGCATTTCCCTAATGACCAGTGATGATGAGCTTTTTTTCATATGTTTCTTGGCCACATAAATATCTTCTTTTGAGAAGTGGATGTTCATATACTTTGCCCAGTTTTTGATGGGGGTTTTGCTTTTTTTTTTTGTAAATGTGTTTACATTTATTGTAGATTCTAGATATTAGCCCTTTATCGGATAGCTTACAAAAATTTTCTTCCATTCTGTAAGTTGCCTGTTCACTCTGACTATCATTTCTTTTGCTGTGCAGAAGCTCTTTAGTTTAATTAGCTCCCATTTGTGAATTTTGGCTTTTATTGCCATTGCTTTTGGTGTTTTAGTCATGAAATCTTTGCCCATGCCTATGTCCTAGAAGAAAACACAGAACAAAAATTATTTTAAAATACTAACCAAACACAAAGTAACAATAATTCCTTTCTCATTGCTTGTGATATAAATAAGCAAAAGCTAGGGTCCCATAGACTGATATGGAAATTACATATAGATGTGTGAATGTGTATGTATGTGTGTGAGAACTAGAAGCAATGATACCTCAGTACTGATAAACACACCTACAAACCAGATCTTGGTTTCTAAATGCCATTCTTCACCAAAAGGAATTAAGGCTCTATGACCAAATGACTGGTTCCAGCCCTGTGGCAGGATGTGTACAAGATGAGCCTGGAGCATCTTACTATACTAGAAGGTAAGGAAGTATACAAAGACTGATGGGGACATGTCAGAAGGACATAGAATCCAGATTCAGAGGGCTCCTCACTAGCTAAATCTGGGTCAGTTTGAGCATCAAAATAAATCACTATAGTAACAAATTCCAACCCATAGAATAAAATAAAATTCTGTGAGCCTATACAGAAAGAAGCAAGATAAAAAGGAAAAAAAAAGGGGAAGAAAAGTGGAAGGAAGGAAGGAAAGAAGGAAGGAAGGAAGGAAGGAAGGAAACATTTTCTGAAAGTAAAATGCCAACTAATAAATAATAAATATAGAAGAAATGATAAAATTCAAAATCAACACTTCACACCACCATAGTAATAATTATTTCAGTCAAGAATCACTAATAGATATTAAAATTAGTGGGCATAACTTGATGATAATAAAATATTTGCATAGTCTCAAAATATCTCTCCACAAAATGCTTATTAATTACCAAAGGTAACTTTATAGTGGGAAAATCTGGCAGACACCACGTTGACCAAGAGATCAAAGTTAGCATGACAGCTAATGAGACTTATTGGTGTCACATGCCTCCTGATGTGATGCACCAAGAGAGATGCAACATCACTTCTATATTTTCCCTGACAAAAATGTACATTCTGATTCTAGCCATGAGGAAATAGTAAACAAACTAAACTGAAGGACTGTCTTTAAAATGATTAGCCTGTACTGTTCAAAAATATCAAGTTCATGACAAAGGAAAACTGAGGAACTCTCTCAGGTTAAGGAAGACTAAAAAGATATACCAATTAAATGCAAAAAATAATGCTGGATTCGATCTTGAACCAGAATTATTGTTTCTTTTGTCATAAAGGACACTAATATGATAACTGGCAAAATTCAAGTAAGAGTCATGACGTTAAGTTTAGCCTAAAACCACCTCCTTTCATATTTTAAGTTCATCCTAAATGTTTCTCCATAAACTGTAACTTATTCTTGGCTCCATCAACAAGTTTGGACTAATCAAGGACCAAACCATGTTCAAATAAGGCAAACTAACAGCTGTAATCAATCTAGCTGTTTCTGTACCTCACTTCCATTTTCTGTCCAAAAATCTTCTACCACATGGCTGCATTAGAGTCTCCATGAGTCTATTCTAATGCAGGAGGCTGCCCGGTTGATGAATGCTTCTTTGCTCAAAAAAAATTGTTAAATTTAATTTGACTCAGGGTTTTCTTTTAGCATAGATTAGATATTAATTAACTGTATCCATGTTCGTTTCCTGATTTTGACAATTATACTATAGTAATACTATAGTTATATAGGATAGTGTCATTGTTTTTAGGCAATATACACTGAAATGCATGGCAGTAGGTCAGGCGCAGTGGCTCACTCCTGTAATCCCAGCACTTTGGGAGGCCGAGGCAGGCAGATCATGAGGTCAAGAGATCAAGACCATCCTGGCCAACATGGTGAAACCCCGTCTCTACTAAAAATACAAAAATTAGCTGGGTGTGGTGGCAGATGCCTGTAGTCTCAGCTACCCGGGAGGCTGAGGCAGGAGAATTGCTTGAACCCATGAGGCAGAGGTTGCAGTGAGCCGAGATCGCGCCACTGCACCCCAGCCTGGCACCTGGCGACACAGCAAGACTCTGTCTCAAAAAAAAAAATGCATGGCAGTAAGGTTGTATGTCTGCAACTTAGTCTCAAATGATTCAGAGAAAGGGCATTATATGTATACATAATATATATAGGCATTATAAATATATATATGCATATATATATCCAGACAGAGACGATTATAGGGCATCCACTAAGAACAAATTTTGGTAAAAAATGTTAACATTTGGGGAATCTAGATGAAGGATATATAAGAACATACTATAAGCTGGGCACAGTGGCTCATACCTAAAAATCCCAGCACTTTGGCAGGCCAAGTGTGGTAGTGTTTACTTGTGGTTTCAGCTATTTGCAGGGGCTTAGGTGGGAGAATCGCTTGAACCTGGGTGGTTGAGGCTACGGTCATCCCACATCATGCCACTGCACTCCAGACTGTCTCAAAAGGAAAAAGAATGTACTATGTTTTGAAATTTTTAAAGTGAATTTGAAATTATTTCAAAATTAAAAATAAAAGGAAATAGAAAAGAAAAAGCTATGATCTTGGAAAGGAAGCATGCTAGGGAAAAACCCCGAGATGTGTATTCTTAGCTAGTTATATATAAGCTTTCCAGTTAGATTCTCCAGGGCTATGCTGCCTTCTATTCTTGAAAGTAGTCCCAGCTGCTTGGCCCCAACACTGTCTTCCTGCCTGCCCTCTCACTCATGCTCCTGCCAAAGCCCAGGTTTGGGGAACTGCCCACAGGACCTGAAACCTAGAAATAATTCTGCACCTTCTTCAAAGAATACTCACTTATAGCTATGCACACCATTGTGATGCCAGGGTCACATGGCAAACACCAAACTACCTCTGTGAGAAGGTAAATGGAGATGACATAAAATTGCAAGTAAGCATAGAGCGAAGGTCTTAGAGTCACAACTAGAGGAAAGAAGGAGGAAAGTCTTTGAGTCATTTGGTGTTTGAAACCAAAAATGGCTCTTTCTCCTTCAAAAACCCATTGTTTTTTAAAGGAACAAGTTGGGAAGAGGTGGGGTGTGTGAAGGGAGGAACTGCCACAGGGGGAAAAAAAATGGCAGCTGCATGGAGTCGCTAAGAAATGGGTACCAAGAATAAAAAAAAAAAAAGAAATGGAAGAATTTTTCCATTGGGATCTTTGAATGTTCCATGAAACAAGCTAACAATATAGGTAATTAATGATAAAGACATCTGCTAAGAACAAATTATGACAGAGAGCATAGACTTCTGGAATTGAACAACCTTCCCACTGGTGTCTTCAGAGACTGAGTTCATAAAAAAATACTCATTGAGAATAAAATATTCAGCCTTGATATGCACTCTCCATATTCAAGGTTTATTATATAGTTTTCTGTCAATGAAATATCTTTCTCTCACGGAAAGTGGTTAGTAGGTAGGATGTTGCTTATTAAGAGAAGTAGATATTCTCAGAACCATAAGGAGAGAGTAATGCTATGATCTCAAACTCAGCTGAAATTAGAATACTGTTGCTATGTGAAGAGACTTAAGAGTGAATCAGAATCAAATGGAATTTAATCAGGATAGGTTTGGGACTAATGAGCATTATTCTATTATAAAAAGAAGAAAGTAGTTCCTAAAACATGGTTTCTCATTCCGTTTCACTACTAGGCCATTGTAAGGCTTTAAACAAACCATATGAACACTCTAGAGTTCAATTTCCCTGGCTGCTGAATGTAGAACTATGTTAAGAAGGACAAGAAGGGAGTGAGGGAGACAAGTTAGGAGTCTATTGCTGTAACCCAAGCCAGGACCAATAGTAACCTGAGTCAGCATGGTGGCCATGTAGGTGTCAAGTGAGGGAGGTAAACCAAAGAGATTACTCTCACTGAAAGCCTATAAACTTACCTTACCTGTAGGACTTTCTTACCAACCACAACTGAAGGGAGAAATCAAGGCTATGCTTTTGGCTCTCTAAGCTGTTAACTATCAATCTGACTCATTTATTGAATACACGCTAGACACAAAGACCTGTGCTAGGTGCTAGAACTTTTACAGTGTGAATAAGATACATACCATCTCTGCACCGAGGACCTTATAGCCTAATTGAATGCAGAGACAAGCAAATCAGCAATTACAGTGCAATGGAAGAAAAGCTAGAATGGAAGTGTTCAGAAGCTAAGGGATCACAAATGAGGTCCAAGTTACCCGATTGTGGGAGAATCAGAGAAGACTTGGAAAAGGTGGCATCTAGGCTGGTATCTAAAGAATAAAATAAATTCCTTAAAAGAAAAGTGGACAAGATAGGGGAAGAGATGATACCTGGACAGAGAGAACAGCAGGTATGAAGTGTCAGCAATGAGAAATGGTAAACTGGATAAGTTGAAGGTAGTCTAGTATGGAGCAGAACATGTAAGTGATCAGTGAGTATGCAGGGCAATTATAACCCTTATTAAAACGTTTGGTCTGTATCCAAAAGGAAGTGAGAAGGATTTGAAACGTTTTAGCAGGAGAGTAACAGTTATTAACTCAATTAACAAATAATTACTGGGCATATACTATATGCCAAAGGTTTTTCTAAGTGCAAGGGAAATCGCAGCTAGATATGATTAGATACTTATGCAAGAACAGTAAGTCAAGCTACTTAATAAAAAACTGTGTATAGAAAGGCAAGAAGAGAGAGAAAGATCAATTAGGAGGTTATTACTGTAACCCAAGAGAGGATTAATTGTTGCTTGGGCTAGGGTGGTGTCCACATAGGTAGAAAAAGAGACTTCAAGAGTCATTGGCTCCCCTAGCCAAGAGTTTCATTGCTGTGTCCAATAATAGGGAAAGAAGGTTTGGTGATAAATAGCATTTAGCATAGTACATACTTCATCTTTGAGAAAAGCAGGCTTCTGCAGTCACCTACTTGAACATTATTGCTTTGACATCAAACATTTTTAAGTACTTTATTAGTTCTCTACATACCTATCTAGACAAACCATTATTAAAAGTACATAATCCAGGGCAGGCATAGTAACTTATGCCTATAATCCCAACACTGAAAGGCCTAGGCAAGTAGATCACTTGAGCTCAGGAATTTGAGACCAGCCTGGGCAACACA